CTCTAAACTGGTTCACGCCATCAAAATGGGTTGGATCAAACCTCGGCGGGTTCAGGACGACAGCAGGGGCCGATTCTACGACCTGTGGGCCAATGAGGACACGTCCATTCTGGCCAAGCACAAAATGCACCTGCCGGCTCCTAAGATCCCTCTGCCAGGTCATGAGGAATCCTACAACCCTCCGCCGGAGTTCATGTTCACAGACGAGGAGGTTAGTCTCCTGCAATCAACAGTAAATCAATTAATCCCAAACCAGGAAGTTGGAGCATCATCCAGCTCTGAAGTCCTTCCACTGTCTCTCTGTAGCTCAGAGAATAGGCTTTAGGATTCTGTTAGTTTATAAATCACTGAACGGCTCGGCACCGCAACACATTAAAGATCTGCTGCTGTTGTATCAACCTTCCAGACCCTTCAGGTCTTCTGGTTCTGATTCTGTTCTGCATCCCCAGAACCAGAACTGAACATGGAGAAGCAGAATTCAGCTTCTACTTACCACAAATCTGGAACAAACAAACAAACAGCCGAAACACTGAGATCCTATAAATCTGAACTAAAAACCCTCCTGTTTAGTTGCTTTTGTAAGTGGAACATTGACCAACGTATTTGACAATTTTGATTATGGCGATTATTACAAAATGTGATATTTATTGTTTCACAATTGGTGACTGATGTTTTAATCTGCCTTGTTTCTGAATTGTCCTGTATGAAAAAGGCTTACTTATGGTCTGTTTCTTCCTCTCTCTGTTCCCAGAAAGCTCTCTGGGAGCAGCAGGATCCCTCTGACCGCAAGCTGCCGTTTATCCCCAAAAAGTATCCCAGCCTCCGTCAGGTTCCAGCGTTCTCTCGGTTCATCCACGAGAGGTTTGAGCGCTGCCTCGACCTCTACCTGTGTCCCCGACAGAGGAAGATGAGGGTGACCACCTGTTCGTTACTCCTCCGTCCAGCAGGTGGAGCCGGTTTGTGACGTTAACGATTCCTCGTCTTCCTGCAGGTGAACGTCAACCCAGAAGATCTGATTCCCAAACTTCCCAAACCGAAGGACCTGCAGCCGTTTCCAACAACCCAGGCTCTGGTAAAATAAAAACAAAACTTAAAAGATGCAAAAATTAGATGCTAGATCTAATCGTTTCAGCTCTTAAAAACTAGAGCTGAAACGATTAATCATGATCAATCCATCATTGAAATCATTATCTACTAATTTAGTGATAAATTAAACATTAACAGGTGATTAAAAAAAGGCTGTTGTTGAAAAAAGCAACAAACTTTAAGCAGTAATAAACAAGAAATGTACAAAAATACAAACATTTATTTAAAATAATAAGAAAACAGTCTATAAATATGTTTTCTACTCAAATCTCCTTATTTATTTTATTTAAAAAAGAATTGAATTTAGATTTTTTTTTTCATGTACTTCTCATATTGCATTAACAATCAATAAAATGTTCAGTTTTTTTTATCTGACGAATTCATCGTCTGAATAATCAGTAGAACAATCAATAAGTACAAGTTGCAGGTTTTAACTTGCCGTGTTTCTGTGTCCAGGTGTATCGAGGTCACAGCGGCCTGGTTCGCTCCATCAGCGTCTCTCCATCAGGACAGTGGCTCGTTTCAGGTAAAAACTCCTGTCAAACAAAATCATGCAGCCTCAAGATTAAAACCTTCATATTGTCTGTGGCATCTAGTATTATTTGGGTTTTGGTGCATTTGTATTTACTTTATTTTATTTGTGTAGAACAGACAATAAAATGTAACAACAGAAATAAAACAATGAGACAAATTGAAGTCCAATTTTACAGGTTAAAATATGAAAGATCTTGTGATTTCCTGTCTCTCTCAAACATCTCAACATCTAAGTTTACCTTCACCAGATAAATCCTTGAAGCATTCTGACATTAAATGATCCAAACTTTTGGTAAAATCCATCACTTTTTAATCAAATTAAAATGTGTATGTTGACTAAACAATATTAGTGAATAAAGTCACTGGTTTGCTGTCTGCAGGCAGTGATGACGGCTCGGTCCGGCTCTGGGAGGTGTGTTCGTCTCGCTGCCTGAAGACGGTCCTGGTGGCCGGCGCCGTGAAGAGCGTCGCCTGGAACCCGAACCCGTCGCTCTGCCTCGTGGCTGTCGCTGTGTAAGTGTCTCTGTTTTCAGAACGTGAAAACGCTCCGTCTGATCCCCTCCATGTCTCACTGGAGCTCGATAATGTGGCTGGAAAAAGTAGCACGGTGCAAGTGCTTCGTGTCAGTAGATATTGATAATTATTGATTATTTTTTGTTTTAAATATCTGAAATGCAGTCAAACCATTGATGTGACCTTTCCTGTTTTATCCAGTTTTCACTCCATGTTGTTTATTTTTAAGCAGATTTGCGGCGCAGTGGCAAAACCTTAAACTGCTGCTGCGTCAGTTACTCAGCAGATTGTTGCTAGGTAACCAAGGAATGAGTGAGTTGCTAGGTAACCACAGAGAAAGTGACTCAGTTGATTCCACCAACTTTGCTTTGCTGGCAGTGAGAAGTTAAGCAGCTAAAACCTTTCCTCTGCCCAGAATGCAGTGGGGTTCTGATTGAAATCAGTGAAATTATAGAATAATCTGTCAGACGTTGAGTATGGCGATTTTGTTATTGATTTATTGTCCAGCCCTATGTCTCACATCTTGTTCTCGTTGGTTTTTTTAGGGACTCTGCAGTGCTGATCTTGTCTCCAGCTCTGGCTGATAAACAGGTCATCTCATCGTCGGAGAGGCTTCTCTCTGCCCAGCAGGAGGAAGAGCCCTCCGAAGGGTCTCAGCCTGTAGTTTGGTCAGAAACCGAGGGGGAGGAGCTAAATCAGGGCATCCGCCTAAAAATCAAACATCCCAAGGTGAGATAATCCCCCTGAGTAGATTTAAAACCACTATTTAAAGCTGCAGTATGTCACATTGTGATGACAGTATGGTATGAGATTGATGATCCGTGAAAAAAAAATCAAGCTCCTCTGCTGTCTCTAGCAGCCAATCAGAGACAGGAGGCGGGTTTCATATGAATGCTAAGACTGGTTAGCATAGCCACCTTTAACAGCAGAAAAAGTTGTTTCTTCACATTAACTACCAAGTACATGAGATTGATTGACAGCACTAAGCCCCTCCTCCTGCCACTGATTGGTTGTTTTTGGTTTGGAAGGAAATTGATGATCTGTCTTATATTAAACTGACAACATACAAACATTTTAAATAAATATGTAAAAAACAATAACATATTTTTAAAATAAAAGTTCCGTATTGCAGCTTTAAAGGAAACTAACGGAGCGAATCCGTCTCCTCAGGCTGTGCACCAGGTGACGTGGCACAGTAAAGGAGACTACCTGGCGTCGGTGATGCCGGACCACTCCAGCCACCTGCAGGTGTTCATCCACCAGCTGAGCCGTCGGCGGAGCCAGAACCCCTTCAGGAGGAACAAAGGTCTGGTCCAGGCCGTGTCCTTCCACCCCATCAGGCCCTACTTCTTCGTGGCGACGCAGCGGTCAGTCCGGATTTACAACCTGGTGAAACAGGAAATGACCAAGAAGCTCCAGGCCAACTCCAAGTGGATCTCCAGCATCGCTGTTCACTCTGGAGGTAAGTGGACGGGTTCTGTTCAGTCCAGTCTTTGTGTCACTGCTGGGGGCGGAGCCTGAGTCTCACCTGTCTGTCTGCAGGTGATCATGTGATCTGTGGGAGCTACGACTGCAGGCTGAGCTGGTTCGACCTCGACCTTTCAACGAAACCGTACAAGATGCTGCGGTACGTTATTATCGCTTATGATTTAGGTATTAATGAACAAATTCATCTAAATAATTTAAGGTTTTTTATTTTGAGGGACTTGTGACTTAACTATATATAATATTATTTTAGCTCAAAAATTCACTTAATAAATGAAACTCCTTCATTGAACACACTGACATATTTAAGGTTTTTACTAAAACATCTTTTTCCATAAATGATCAATCGTGCAATAAAGGATCAGAATAAGATGGAATTCATTACAATTTGCACACAGATACATTATAGGATAATCACAAAGCAAATGATGGGATTTGACTGCATATAAAACCTACAGAAAGGCTAGTTTTATTTAGTGCACTGCTATATTTATATCTTTGCTGCTGATGTTTTCTGAATTTGTACCCTTATTTTAACACAAAAACATGGTGGGGCAGCTGGTGGACTTCCCTAGCAACACTGGGATTAGCCAGTCTGGGGAAACCCTGAATATATTACCATACGCAAGAAATATATATGTAGAAATTTGACTGTTTGGAATGATTGAAATGTAGGTTTTATATTTCCTTTTGGTGTTTTTGTGTATGCTGAATGTTTTGGTTTCTTCCTGTCCGTCAGACATCATAAGAAGGCGGTGAGGAGTGTAGCGTACCACAGAGGTTACCCGCTGTTCGCCTCAGCGTCAGACGACGGATCAGTCATCGTCTGCCACGGAACCGTCTACAAGTAAAACCTCCGCCCGTTCGCCTGCCACACACCGGTTTTAAGGATCAAAGTGTTTCAGAGCCACACACCTTAAGCGATCTCTTCCAGCAACCCGCTGATTCCCGTAGTTCTCCGGGGTCATGCGATCACTCATGACCTCGGCGTCCTGGACGTGACCTTTCACCCCACGCAGCCCTGGGTGTTCTCGTCCGGCGCCGACGCCACCATCAGACTCTTCACCTGAGAACCGGCGCTTTATGACGGTGACGAGGATCTCTGACGCCCTGTTGTATCCTAGCAACCAGCTCTGACTGGTTGCTAGGATACCTAGGGTATCCTAGCAACCAGGTGCTAGGTGACTGGTTGCTAGGATACAACAGTGAGGAGGTTCTTTCCTGTAGTTTTTATGTTCGTTTGTACTCAATAAAATATAACATTCTTACTTTTCATGTTCACTTGTGTTTTAATCTGCAGGAACATCTGTTGAACCTCTGAAACAGATTTAGTGGGATTTAAAACAGATCAGAACCAATCCGCCATTTTGTTTTATTTAACTGCTCAATTCTGATCCTTATTGGAAAAAATCAGTTTACTGCCATCAAATGAAAATCATTCAACAAAAAGAAACCACATTTATTTGGGGTCTTTATTTGACAATTTAGTGCAGAAAACTGTTCAGTTATTGACATCAATATTTAACATCCTGTGTTATAATAGTTTGGTGATTCGGATTTTATTCTGTTTTGTTTGACTAAAGGCAGCTTTAAAAAAAATCATGGAAAATAGAGTTCAGATCCCTGTTTATATTTACAGTATTATATGTACTTTTTGGATCGCTTTATCACATGGTGTATCAGAACATGCTCATTTAAGAGAAATGTTGATATTAAAATCTAAAAATACGAATAAAAAGATTTCTCTTTAAAAAATTACAACTGATTTTTTGTAGTAAAATGTTTTTTTGTTAACTGAGGAAATAAATGCTTCTGGATTGTAAAGATTGCAGACTTCTATTGGGAGCTTTTAGTTTGAAAGCTTTTTGTGAAGTCGCAGCTTGTTTCCGGCGGACCTTTTTTGGTGTGACACTAGATCATGACGACAGTACACAGAATCATACCGATCCGCGAAAACTGTGTTTACACCAGCTGTTATTGGTAAATATGACTACAACAACAGCTACTATTTGAAAATAGGTCACTTGCATGTTGGTGTTGTTGATTGTGGTTTATACTAACGCAGTTTGGGGGATTGATTCTTAAATGTAAATACGTATAAAGGACAAAAACAAGAGTGTGCTTTAAATAAAGACAAATCGATTAATATCCGAGCTGTAGACAACTTCTTTTGTAATGTAATATTTCTAATCAAGTCTAACAAACTGTTGCTTTCTGTATCTTGGTGTATTTTTCCCGCCTTTTATGTTTATTTAAAAACTTGTCGATCTGCGTCCTGTATGTGTCATTATTTCATTAACCTGGATTTTCTGTTGATTTTAGTGTTTTCTGTTCTTGTTTTGCAGTGAAGAAAATGTGTGGAAGCTGTGTGAATTTGTTCAGAAAGAGAAAACTGCTCCACTGGACCAGATATTTGTCGTTTTTATCTCCAATGAGAAACGGATGGTGAGAAGCTGGGGATGAATATGGACCTCTAAACGTACTGAATGTAGATTCCTTATAAGCCAGTTAGTGAAATGAATAAGACGTAATGATTTGAAGACTTTCTGTTGATATTTTTAACATACTTTCGTCCCTCGTAAGAAGTATTGAGACCAGTTTTTTATATTTTTACTTTTACTAACATGACTGTGAAGGAAAAGCTTATGTATTTTTTAAAATGCTAATAAAAATCTGAAACCTGTGATGCAGATTGTAGAACCACCATCTGCAGGAGACAGTTCCTTTTTATACTGAAAAACATCACAATTGAAGCTGAGTGTAAATATTTTTCCAAGCCATCTTCAAAACAAAAACCTCTAAATTTTATATAAATAAAGAAACAGATGTTGACCAAGGTGCTGTACTATTGATTCAATTAAATAAAGCAAGACATCTATAAGAATAAGAAAAATGAACAGCTCTGGAAAAAAATGAATAGTCCACATCACTGAACCCCATTGAAAACCTCCTGGTTATTCCACCAAATACTGATTTCTGAACTCTTCCTGAGTTAAAACATTAGCGTTGTCGTTTCAAAATTAATGTGAACTTGTTTTCCTTGCACTATTTGAGGTATGCGTCTTTTTCATTATGTTGATCTTTTCTCATTTACTGCAAATTGTGGCCTTTTAATTTTCCAGAGCTCTATGGTGAAAAGAATGGTCAAAATGAAATACAAATATTGTCCATATCTATCATTTTAAAAGAAACTGAAACTGAATGAAATGCCAAAGAACAAAGATAGGTCTTAAGCAAAGATGTGCACATTTCCACAGTCTCAGTGGTAAACATCAAACTTTTAGAGCAGCTGATTTTCCTCTTAAGCTGATGATGTTCTGTTTTCCCTCAGATTCCTCTGTGGAAGCAGAAATCCGGACATGGCGACCAGCATGTGATCTGGGTCTGTTGTTTCCTCCACATGTTCATCCCTGATTGCATTGATGCTGTTTTGTTTTGGCGTCATTAACGGGGCCGCTGCGTGTTTCAGGACTACCACGTGATCCTGCTGCAGGTGCGCCCTCAGTCGGACTCTCTGGTTTACGATCTGGACTCTGTGTTGTCGTTTCCCTGCAGCCTGCAGCTCTATGGAGCCATGGCCTTCCAATCGGACCGCCACATCCGACCCGAGTACCACAGGTAACCTGTGTATTACTATCTATTTGTTTTTGTTAAATGTTTGCGTAAAATCTAATGTTTTAGATTAGGCGCTTCTTGGGCAGCTAAGTGGGTCATAACAGTCAAATATTGCTTTGATATGTTAACGAGGCGCTGTTTTTCAATGTCAAAGTTTCTTTGCAAATTGTTTATGTAATGATTCTAATTATTGCTCGAATATAAGTAAGGATTACCTTTGCCCAATTCCCCCAAATAGCATTAGATTCTGACCGCGGACACCCTTTGCTAACCCACAGACAATGCTAATGTGTAAAGAAACATTAATTTTTAGAATGTTGTCCCTCGGCTTTCATTTAATATTTAATAATAATACATTTGTTTAGCATAAATGCTGATTAATATTTTCAAAAAAAATCAGTAGCTTTGATCTTTTTATTTTCAAAAACTTTCATTTTGTTTTGCTTTTGCTAAGCTAGCTTGATGAGCAAAGCAGCTTTATTAATCTAACTGGTAGTCAATCAGAAAGATTAGCACGGTAAATGACATTTCAGTGCATTGTTTTAACATATTTTATGCAATTATTAAAATATATTTACTTGATTTTATGAAAAAGTATTAAAATTAAGAAACAATTATTTAAAATTTCTTCTATTTTCTGAGCCCTCCTGGCATAGCATAGCACCGGGCTGGGCTAGCTTTACAGCTAACAAACAGTAATACTAGGGAATTTATATCAGCCGCAGGGAGATGAAGGTCACACATCTGATGATGCCACAGTAATGTCTGCTTGTGTCTGTGACAGGAAGTTGCGTGTGATTCCTGCTGACAGCTTCCTGTTGAACTTTGCATCTGATCGATCTCACATGAGGAACCCTGATGGAACCTGGAAGATGCCTCCTCCTCCATATGCGCCCATCCAGACAGCAGGTAGAAGGTCTTTCAGGGTTTATTTATGTTTTGAATATCTACATAGAGATACAGCATGAAGCATAATGTTAAAACTTTAGTTTTACACATTCAAGAAAGTTGGTGGAAGTATAAACTTATCAATATTCCCACTCTTTACATCTATTTACATTTACTACATGAATAAGAACTAGCCATCAGTTTACTGGCTAACTATTAATTAATTTACCTTTTTTAATTTTAATTAATTTTAATTACAATGGCAAAAACAATCATTATTTCTTTAAATATCACCAAAAGAAAAATTAGCATTAGTAACAAAAATAACTGAATAAACAAACAATATTATATATTATGTCTAACAATCATTACGTGTTTATATGATCATTTTAACAGTTTTATGTTTGGACAACATTCAAATTATTCCATAGTTTTACTCCATTTACTGAAACATTAAAGTTTTTTTTTCTGAATTTGCGTATTTTAAATTGGAAATTTGCTCCTTAGTCTTAAATAGTTTTCGAAGGTTTTTTGGTAATTTTTTAAAATTTTTGTACAAAATTGGAGCTGTCTTTAGTTTCACTGTCATTAAGTTTAAATAATTCAGATTTTACAAAAATCATGTTAATGTTTTATAACTATCCTACCCTATACATTATTTCTCATTTCTTTATTTTGTGGTGATATTAATGCCTGTGGAGAAGTTTTGTAATAATTGCCCCAAATCTCTCACAATCACTTAAGTGTTTTATGATAATGATGATGTTGATGTTAATATTATTGATGATGATGATGATGTCACTGGTTTGACCCCTCTTCTCTACAGAGAGTCAGATGAACCTGGATGATTTCATCAGTATGAGCCCTGCTGATGGCTGGGGAACCGTCTACAGTCTGGATCACTTCCTGCTCACATACACTGGAAACCCGCCCACAGCATCGTCTTCGTCGACTTCACCCTGATCTTCCTCAACGCCACCAGCAGCAGATGTGGTTTTATGATATTGTTGCTTCAGATGGTTCAGAATCAATGATTTTGTTGGACTTTTATCCTGGTTCTGATGTTTGATCCTTTAGTTTCGACTTGTGGATTATTTTCTGAGCAATAAAAACATTTTTTATCATCTATGAAAATGTTTATATTAAAATCAGAGCCTGAGGAAAACGAGACGACCTAATTATAATAAACAAAAAAGAGCTTCTTTTAACCAATATAAGATTTTAGGCTTTGGACCCAGACCTCAGTCTACATCCAAAACGGTTTGAAACTATCAGTTTTTCTCCTGCCTGAGCCAGCTAATGACTCACACTGGTGCAACTCAATAGAAAAGTATAACAGAGCTGATTTAGTTTAGTTATTTAGTTCAAAAGTGAAAATCATAAATTCACCAAATAGTGTAAAATAATAAAAGGGTGCTCTGCTATTCAAAATTCTAATTTTTCACATTTCTGTACTTCCATATGGGTTTCTACTGCTACTAAAAACAACCTGGTGGCTTAAAAAGACACAACCATTTTTTAGTTTTATTTCTTTAAACCTTTTTTCACCAAGTTTTTCTTTCTCTCTTTCCCTTTTACTTATTGCAAGACTGAAACAATACATATTTTGCAAAATGAAATATAAAATTCACAATATCTGCACAAACAACTTTATACAAACATTTTCTATGTCTAGAAAATAAAACATGCACCTGCAGTAGTGCTTCACGCATCTATCTTATCCTCCAGATGAGCCAATTTAGCACCTAATGCAGGGGTGTCCAAAGTGTGGTGCTGGGGCCATTTGTGGCCCTTGAAATGATTTTGTTCAGCCCCAGAATACAAGTCCAGAATGGCAAAAACAATTGATAATCCCCCCCAAAATTGGAAATTGCAACAATCTAAAGCCCTTTTTATGTTTTAACCTTTAATGATAAACAGATTTAAATTGAGCAAGTAAAATAAACAAACAAACATAAAATCGCAATAAATTAATTCTTGTCTTTCTGATTCATTAACTTTTGTAGCCTGCAAATAGTTTAAATTAGCAAGTTTTGGTCCCCAGGGCTAAAAGTTTGTGTTGCACACTTAATTAGTCAATGGTTTACTAAATTCAGTTTAAATAAGAAAACCAGTACAGATTCTTCTGCAGGGCTCTAACCTGCTGTGAGCAGAGGGAAGTGGCTGCTTGACAGTTAAAAGGTTTGTTTTTCCTTTTCAACCTTCATTTTCAGGAAGAAGCACAGGCTGCCGATAAGCTCCACATTCAATTCAACAAAAGCTTCTAACAGTAAGAGTTTCAACTTGATTAAGGATTTGTCCTGTAAAATGTGACGTTTTGTTGTCTATCAACAAATTAAAGCAGTTTATAATAAAAACATGTAAAGAAAACAATAAACACAGTGTTAAAACGTGAACAGGCTCTCAGGTTAAGCCTGTTTCTCAACCTTAACACACTGACTCACCTGATCTTCATTAGTTCTCAATAGGATGTTATTTAAATGCTTTATGAACTATTTTGAATCAAAATTTCTCTTTTTAGAGAAAGATGAGTGGAAACCACAACAATGAAGCCGATGAAGGAGGAATTAGAAGTTGGATTCCTACTCCTTTTGCGACTGCAGGATCAGTTTTGGGGCTTTATCTTTGTAAGTTACAGAAAACTGATTACATTTTGTATTTTCACATGAGGAAGAGGCCTGTAATAATAAAACCATTGTAAGATTATTTTCAGATTAAACTCTGTATTTGTGCTTTCTGTTGTGAGGAGACTTTCCACTTTGGGGAATTTATGAAACGTTGAAGAAAAATATTAGAAGTTTTGAGATCAATCTTACAGTTTTTCTAGAAAAATCTGGACAATTTCTTAGTTTCAAAAGTCAAATATTTTCAACTTTTGAAGCTCTGAAATTTCCAAGTTTTTTTCTAGAATTTATTTTTATTTTTTGGTGGAAATTTTGTATTTTTTTCCTGCAATAATCCTACATAAAACATAGTACATATTAAAAATGTTGATGCATCAAAATATTTAGATTTGTTTTTACAGTATATGAAGGTTTTATTTTAAATGCATGTTTGACAAGCAGATATGTATGCTGGTGCATTAAATTAGTATTGGCCAGTATTTTTGCTAACAAAAAACAAAAGTTTTCATTTTTATTCATTTCCTCTATCTGCATAGACATGGCAGACTTTCAAGAATGGTGTCTGAATTCACAAGCTTTTAGTAATAACCACTTTTGGATCACTAAGTTAACATTGTCTAAGTCACTTAAACCAGATATTTAAAAAAATACCCTAAATTTTTTGAAATGTCTCTATTTGCTTCTTCAGGGTGGCGGAATCGTGAAGCCCATAAAAAGATTAAAGAGATGGAAGTAAAGCTCATGAGAAACAGCCTCTCTATCCACCGCAGTCAGATTATTCCATTTATTGAATTTTTTTCTACGTTTTCAAGTCCCCCAGAAGAGAAAAGAAACATTGTACGCAACGGTTATGCAAGCAGAGGAACACAGTTCCTTTTATCAGAGCTGGACGACCTGGAGGATCTGCTGGTGGAAAGGCAGCATCTCTACTGCAGCTACTTCACGACGAAGCCTCACCTGGAGCTGATGGAGAAGAAGATAAAGGAGAACGTCAATGTTTTGTTGTGGTACAATTTGATAAAAAAAGAGGAGTTGGATAAAATCTTCCGTGAAGATCGTCACTGTGCTTTCTGTGTCTCGTACCTGTGGACTGGAGACAAAAGAAAAAATGGAAAACTGATGTGGGAGATGCTGGGAGGCTGGAGGAAGGCGGCGACGGAAAATGTCAAAGACGAGACCTTTAAAAAAGTGAGCATGAATCAGAGAGGCTTTAACTTCACCTGAGAATATCCTGCACTAAACATTCATTTCTTTGTTTTTTGCACAGGTTTTCGAGGACAAAGAAAATTTCCGGTCCACTTTTCAGCGCTGATTAAATTTGGTCATGAGCAAAATTTACTCAGCAGGGGCTTCAGGAAATCTAAAACTAATGCTAATAAATGTTTTTATTATTCAATGGGGGTTAATGTTCAATTCTGCTTGGTGTCATCAGAGTGACTTTAGAAGGACATAATTATACAAACATTTTCAATTAAGAAAATTACAGACATCCTCTTCATGAGACTGTCTTGGGAAAACAGTGTCGTCGGTCAGAGGCTTCTTCAAATACTGTGATACAGACTGCTGCAGGAGATTGGTCCTGCCCACAGCCATCACCATCTACAATAACTGTTTGAAGAATTTTAATTGATTTGCAACATTTAATTTCCCTTTGAGAACAATGAATTTTGAGTTTCTCTATCATTTCATCATCCACAGCTGCTTTTCCATCACAGATGTGCACAAATCTTTGTTTATGTTCTGCTAATTTTCACAAAACACAATTTTGCAATTGCCATTTCCACTAAGTAAGAAGTTATATTGAAATCTTGTGATGGCAGTGACAGATGTGAAGCAGTTATTAGATTTTTGACGTTTTCACCAGAAGTAACATCGGGTTATTCATCATGACTCGTATGGTGAGGAAAAAGTTTCCATTGCAAATAAAGTTGAGTTCATTCTAATGTATAACAATTTCACAATTTTTTTTTTTTCAAATTTGCATGTTTTCATTTAGCAAATTTATTTTCTTAATTTAAATTTTGAGCAGCTATTATTACTGTAAATGCAGCTCGTGACTCAGAAATGAAGATCTTTGTCCCCTTTTGAATTTGAAAACTGTAATCTGGATTTTAAGATTTCTTTTTGCGTCCTCCTGGCTGAGTGTTTCACTGTGGATTATGCCTCTCTCTTACCACCTTCTGCAACACCTTCAAAAGATCTTTGGCTTTTGTTCGGGTTTCAAACCAGAATCCGTCTCTGACCTGGAGGCTGTGATGGTTGGACATTCACATCAAGTATATAGTTACCAATAATTATTGGAACAGATTAACGCAGCAGCTTCAAGCATCTGGAAATTTTAAGACATTTTTCTACAGTAAGAGCGACTGATCAGTTTTTGACTCTGTCCAATCGGAGCAATAAGATTCACCTGCTTGGTTTTGTTTACTTGCAAAAAGTACAAAGTGAAAGTGAAAGCAAACCTCATCAAGTAAAATAAATAAGATCCTCATTTGAACCGGACCAAACAAGCAGTCCAAAGTGCTTTCCTGATGTGAAAACACCCTCAATCATCAGATTAGATGGATAGGTAAGCAGTTAATCAGGAGAAGCTCATAATTGCTGTAATTTGTCGTTAATCAAATAGCTTGGCTGGCATCTGCAGGTAAATGCTACTCTATATTGCGTGTTATTAGTTTATGGTTTTATGTCTTTCTGCATGCTGGACACCTGATTGTACTTTGGTGATAATAATTTTAAAAAAAAACTTTAACCTTGTCTGTAAATTCCAGTAAAGGGAAGAAACTGGTCTAAAGTCCTGCTCAGTTGATGAATAAACAGATACTTGGTGAAACTTGTTCCACCACATAATCAAACTCCTTCGTGATAGGTTTATTTTTTTTAAGATGAAAGGAGTGGCTACGCTGACCCAAGTCTAGAGGAAGGTGTGAGTTTCGTCATTATTATCTGGACTAAACTGAAGCTGATCACAGTCAGACTGAACATCACCAACCGGATTATGTAAGTCGCCTGAAATGTAGATTTTCTTTTGAATAGCACAAACTATGGCAGCTTAAACAGAGCTAATTTATTTCAGGTTCTATGTACAATTTTGTCAAGACTATCCAACTACATGTATCTTTCTCGTTTTATTTTGTTTTGTTTTTTTTGTGTCAGTGAAACTACACAAAACCAGAGCTTAGATTATTTGAGTTTATCCATTTCTTTTCTCCACTAACAAGTCATCTCTTAACAACTCAAAGGTTTTAATCTGTATGGTAAATTTGACGGTCCAGAGAACCGGTAACCCATGTTTACCTCAGACAGGACATGGTTTGACTGGTCAGGTGAAATGCTTCCTGTTTGTCTTTCTTGTTCGCTGTTGGTGTCATTTCTCACCCGACCCATTTTCAGTCGGGCTTCTTCTTTTTTATAACATCATTGTTTCAGAGCAGACATGAGTGGCATCGGCAGTACTGAACAGGATGGAGAGGGAACAGGAGGAAGTAGCTGGATCAGCACTTTCTGTTTTGTAGCAGCAGGTGCCACTGCAGCTGCTCTTTGTAAGTTACAGTCAAATCATTTAAGTTTAAAATTTAAATGTACAATTTTCACTTGCAAGAAAACAACTCCAGGACTATTTATGTGATCAGAGGAAACTAAGTCAAACCTGCTGAGTTTTGATGTCATTCGCGATTCATTCGATTCTTTTGAACAGTTCTGCCGTGAACGAGTCTGTTGGTGAGAACTGTTCTTTAGCTGGCAATATCCTGCTCACACATCAACCACTATTGTTATTTTTATTTAACTAAAAATTATTAATTAATTAGTAGAATTAGTAGATAGATGCTGTTGATAGAAATGGTTGGATAATTTTATAGTTAATGTTGCAGAAAAGCAACTTGTCTATTTTTTTAAATTGTGCTTCTAACTTACAAATAGATGTAAATGTTATTAATGCACACAACACTTGGTAGTAAAGAACAATTAGTTTTTAATTTCCATGTTTGACATCATTGAAAATTCAAACTTTTACAACATGTAAATAATTCAAAACACCCTGAGTGGACGTGTTCATGGCTTTTCACATTTAACGACCAGCATGGATGGACAAAGGAAACAACAATAAGGGAGATTAATATTTTTTAACGTTTGCCAAGGCCTCTTGCTGTTCTATATTTTTAAAGCTTTTTTTCCACTTTTCTCATGACTTAGACTGGAAAAATCTTGAAGCAAAGAGAGAGAAGAAAGAAATGGAGCTGAAGATCAACAGAAACCTCGTCTATATTCAACAGAGTCAGTGGATCTCACTGAAAAGTGCTTTCGGTCTTTTTGAATTGCCACTAATGGAGAAAATGAAATCGCTAAAAATGGAGCTCAGAGAAAGAACCGAACTGCTGAGTTTATCGCAGCTGGATGAGTTGGAGGATATGTTGGTGGAAAGACAACATCTTTTCTGCAGCTACTTTACACCAAAATCTTGTCGGGAGCAGCTGGAGAAGGAGATCATTAAGAAAGCTGGTAAAATACCACAGATCCACAAGAAGAATGTCAAGGCAAATTTGGAGGAAATCTTCAGAGAAGATCGCCATTGTGCTTCCTGTCTATCATACCTCAGGACGGGGGATAAAAGACAGAATGGTAAAATGATGTGGAGGCAGCTGGCAGACTGGAGGAGAGCAGTGAGCAAAGAAAAGTACTTGAATGAAAATTCCACTTATTGTTAGCTCACCAAAACTACGGCCTGAGTGTTCATAAAAAGATGACTAACAGGGTCATCCATTTGTTAGCTGCTGCCTGTTTATCTTTTTCTTTTGCGTTGTGAAGATAAAAAACTCCATCCTGCTATACAACTTACACTGTTTCCAATATAACCTGATATCCTCTGCTTCCTGAGTCCTTTTGCAATTAATGAACATATTACTAAGGTTCCTAATTAACATGTTTATCTGAATCAGATAATTCTTACAACTCAAAGTATGTTCCACTGTCTGATGTTTCCCTATCAAAAATAGAGATCTATTTGAAACATCAACTGTAAAACACAAAAATATAATAAAAAAACTGAACATTACAAAAAGCATAAAGCTTATTAATACCAAAAGATATAGCCGGCAATAGCAAAATAAGCTGAATAGTGTAAAAGTTGAATGGTAAAAATATCCAGAGTGTTTATAAAATGACTTAAGGAAAACAAAGTCAATGTTTTTTTGTGTCCATCACAAAACCTTATTGTTGTGGAAAGATTTCAAAAGGTGAGTCAAGATCACACAAAGCAGTGCTTTTACAAATTTGTTATCCAACAAACATTTTGTTTTTATTGTCTATATTAAATCTATGTGAGGTTTGCTGTTTAAATTGAATTCCTGAAATAAAAAGGCTTTTTAATGACATTCTAATTCATTGGGATATTCAGAGTCTGTTAACAAAAGTAAAGTTGCTGGAAAAGTTGCCGTCATCAAGGCCATTCAAAGTGCTCTGAAATCTTAAACTTGCTGTTATATCCATGTTAGTCTTGGTATCTTTCCTGGCAGTGGAGAATCGCAGAGAGAGGAGGAGGAAGAGAGAGTTGGAACTGCGGTGAATGAATAAAGATGTTTGTATTTCACACAGTTGAGTCTCCGTTTTACACTTTGCTCTTGTGTGTTGGAATTTAAAAAAGAAAATGATGATGCTTCTTTATAAATAGATGAGCTGGAGAAACTCCTGGAAAAGAGATCAAAAGTTTTCTGCAGCTTCATTATAGTTTTATATGTTATAAAGCTCTTTGTTTGCTTTCATTTCCCACATACCTAATTCAGTTTGGTCAGTCAATTCATATTAGAATCAAATTACATGTTTCATATTGTTTTAGTTTTTGCAATAACATATTGCGAAAAGTAACCATATTACACAATGTGACATGGAAGCAACTTGATAAAAGTACATATTTTGTAACCTAAAACCTGAAAATAAACTTGATTATCAGTGGTGCTACAATAAATCACATCTGACCCCTTAAATACATACATATGTTAAAGCAAAGCTCTGTGACCTCAGTGTTAGTCTTTTCTTTGTGGCATGTGGATGTGGGTGAGGGGTTTACAGCAGATGGACGGTTTTTAGGGCCTGTGGGGGTGTTGAGTCTCAACAATAGGACAGCTGAGAAAAGCTCCAGCTGCTGTCCAGAAAGTGAGACGCAGCAACAGACAACAGATGTGCTGTTGTTGTGGAAAAGGACAATGTTGTGCAGTTATGAAGATTTATTCAGTTTAAAAACTGGGGTGAACGTAGATATGTGTGAAATAAGAATAAAAATCTGTCTAAAAAGAAAAAAAAGAAGAAAAATTGTGGGGGGTTTTTATGTATAAAATGGAAACATGATGAGAAAACAAACATGGCAGATTTGTTTTCTTCTTAAAAGTGTTTCAGATTTGCTCATAAAATGTCAAGCGATTTTATTTGGGTTTTGATGTTATGGTCCTGATTTATTAACAAATATTACAAAAGAAGAAAAACATACGAAAGAAAAAGATTAAGAAAGGAGAGAGAAAAAGAATGAAATAAAATAAAAAATTAAAAAGACTAAAAAAGAAGACAGATGGAAAAAGAGGAGAAAATAAAACTAAAAGAAAAAGAAAGCAAACAAAAGTAAATGTATAAGTAAAAGAAAGAACAACATACATTAAAAGTAAAGAAAACAATAAAAGGTTCTAAATAAAAATTGAAGAAAGAAAGAGAGAAAAAAGGAAGAGAGAGAAGGATCGTGACGTCACGGACGGAGCGTTTCTGTCTCTCTCTGTTGCTCTCCAGTCTGACTCGAAGCTAACAGTTAATCGGAACCGTAAAGATGCTTTTGGACCCGTAAACAGAGTATAGGCGGCTCTGCTGGCCTCAGTCGCGGCTCTTTGAACTCCTATCGGGTCAGCTGGCCTGTTGCTGGGTTCGGGTTCTGGTTGTGTGACGGTGGACGGGCTGGACGGCCATGTAGCTCCGTTAGCATGTTTCGGCTGCTGGGCCACTTTCTCCACCGTTAGGCTCATTAGCAGCAGTTAGCAGCTGTTATCGCCCCTCTATGGGGCGGAATGTCTATTTGTGTTGCAGTTAGATAACCGTGTTTCATCTCAACATGTGTCGGCGTGTTGAACCGGCGGCGCTTGTTCCCGTTATGAATCCTTTAACCAGCTAGTAGGAGCCGCAGCGCTGCTAGCTGAAGCTAACGGGCTCGGATGTCTTTGTTTCCAGCGGCGCAGGTCAGCTGCGGCCGTTAGCGGAGGATTTTATGGAGATTTTAACGCGCTGACTCTGGGATCGGGTGGTTTTATTTTATTTTTTTGAGTGGTCAGCCGACATGCAGCGCTCTCTCCTGTGACCTTGGCATCGTCGCTTCAGATCGATCAGAAATAAGCCCAACAGCTGGTTCCGACTCCAGGGTTACGATGGCCCTCAGTTCAGACTGCAGGCAGATGCTCGTCTACCTGCTGCTCCTGTCAGGTAAGGGCTCACTTCCTGGGTCCAAATGGGTCAGAAAGCTTTTAATTAATGCCTAGATAATTGTAAAATTAATCCAGTTATCCTTATTCTATTGTAAACAGTTTGCTCGATTAAATTACCTCATTTTTTATGGTGTCATCTCACTAGAAACATTAAAAACTCCCCTCTTGTTTTGATTTTTATAATACAAAAAAATGTAAAGATCCTTTAAAAAAGTAAAATATTTCTTAAGCTGAAAATCAGCGTTTATAAAAACAGATTTATTTTTGGTAATGATGTTTTAGGCCTGTGACAATAACGATAAATGATCCCTGGAGTTATTGCAATAAAAGATAATATTTTCAAGTTACATAATGTCTGTGGCATAAAAACATTTTGTTCTCAAAGATTGATAAACTTTAAATTCTAATGAACATTTAACACTGGAACTGGAAGACTTTTTAAATATTTAAAATGAATAAAACAAACAATGAAAAAAATGAATAATTTAGTCTCTGTTAACAAAATTGTCCTTAAAAAAAGGCGAGTTGAGGCTAAAACAGAAGAGTTTTATTATCCCGCTTTTGGTAAAAAGAGAGAAAAACAACAAATTATATATATAATGTAGCTCCCTCCTCACCATGCAGGTACAACTGGACTTTCAGATCCACATTCAGCTCAGCAGGTGACAGAATCATTAAAAATTTAGAAAGGCTGAATCAGTGCTTTCTCTCTCTTTCTCTCTTTTGGTTGTTGTTGCATTAGGCCAGTGTTTACCAGTGAAATGAGAACGCCATCCCATAATCCTCCACAGGAAAAGCATTAAAGTGATGCACTCCAGGGACATAATCAGATCATCAGCATAATGCTATTCATCGTAGTATTATTCATCTGACTGTCAGGAGGAGAAAACATGTGTATCATCAGAAATATTTATTTACTTATTTAATAAAACCTTGATATTTTATTTTAGAGTTCTGCTGCAATTTCTCTTTTCTTTTAAACGAAACTGTTTCATTTAAGTATTTCTGGCTGATTACTACTATAAAAAGAATCTGTTGTTTGTTCTTTAGAGTAAGCCTAATACGTACGAATGTGCTGTTCAGTGTTCTGCCTGTTTCTCCCAGGATGCATTGCTTCTTCTCAGAGGAATGACAACGTCTACGTGTCTGGATTTTCTAACGGTGCGTTCAGAGTCTCTCTGCTGTCGGTGTTTAGCGATCAATGCAGTGAAACTGTAACAGAAGTCGTCTTCCCTCCATGCAGCCTGCAGCGACGTGGCCGAGCTCCTGCGGGCGTCCAGCGGCGTCATCACCAGCCCCGGCTGGCCCTTCCAGTACCCGGCCAGGCTCAACTGCAGCTGGAACATCAGGGCCCGACCCGGGGACTCCATCACCATCAGGTGACGCAATGCTGCACCGCAAGCTAGCATGTTGTGTTAATGTTAATATTAACTGAAACCCTCCAGTTTTTCAGCATTGAGCAGAGCTGCACCGATATCTGCTGGTTCTGATTCTGACCCATTGTTGACTGTAAATGAGCAGACGTGTCCTGGTGGGCCGGTCCTCCAGTCAAGCCTAAAAGGAAAAGGACAGAGTTTGATTTTTTTACCTTCTCTGACGTGGATAAGTTTCTGCTGGCTGCCAAACATTTTGTCTGGTTTTTGCATTGAATTTCCACAACATGTCACAAAAAGTACCAGTAATATATATTTTTTTCTTGTCACTGGAAAGTATCTGCCACAAATATCAACGTCCAATATGAAAATGTATCCATAAACTAAGAAAAACATAAGTAAAATTGTGGTAGATCTTTATTAATTGTCCTTTTAGTTTGTAGCTCTAAGCGAGTTTGTTGTAGCTGAGGATAAACATGGATCCTTTGATTATAAAGTTTTCAGATTCCTGATTCGAATCTCATATTTATTTCCAAAGAAGGAGGTTGGTTTTTCTGACTGTTTTTAGATGCATATTTGGTTGAATTTGAGGGATTATTTTAGAAAACTGTCCTTTTTCTTGGCTGGCTGCTCGGCTCATGATGTGCTTTTGCTCTTCCTGTGGTCTCCTGCTGTCCGTCTGTTCTGGGTTTATTTCAGTTCAGGGTCAAAGTTCAGGCTGACATTCAGGCCTAAAGTTAAACATGTGCCGGCTTGTTTCAGAGTTAGCTTTAGGAAACATTTCAAACCTTTTTTGCTTCTCAGTTCCAGGATTGAAACTTTTTATAGTTAATGTTGTTTGTTAGTCAGTTAATGCACTAAATGTTTTCTTTAGAATTCTCACTTTTTTTGTTTTGTTTTTTTAAGATTGACTTTTTCAAAATTCTGATTTTTTTTAAATCTCAGAATTCTGACTTTTTTTTCTCAAACTTTACTTTTTTCTATTCAGATTTTTTGACAGAATTATTATTTTTTTCTAAAAATTGGGACTTTAATTTCTGGTTGTTTCTTCTGAGACATCAGTTCCGGTTAAAAATCTTTTTATTTATATTTTTCTAATGGCCCTATTCCCCCTCTGTGTATTTCAGTCTTTCTTTCCTAGGATGAAGAACATTTTTATTTATTTATTTTTGCAGTTTCCAAGACTTCGACCTGCAAGGTTCTCACCGCTGCACCTCAGACTGGATGTCCATCAGCAGCTACAGGAGCCTGGACGGCCTGCGGGTCTGCGGCTCCTCCCTGCCGCCGCCTTACATCTCGTCCCAGGATCACGTCTGGATCCACTTCCACTCTGACGACGGCCTGGCGGGGAAAGGCTTCCGGCTGTCCTACATCACCGGTGAGGACGCCGCGCTCTGCTCTGGGTCAGATTTGAGAGCGACGGCCTGCCTGTCTCCATCATCCTGTGATCTTCGGTCTGGCATGTCGTCCTGTTTGTTGCGTAACGGCTGTTCTGAGAGCAGTGATGTAATTCTGGATTAGACTCAAATTTAAATCCTCAGAGCGAGGACTAAATGGAGACGTCAGGGCAGCACAGAGGGATTCCAGCTGTTGTTAATCAGGATGTTCTTCCAGGTAAACCGGAGGCGTCCAGCTGCGATGTGGACCAGTTCCACTGCTCTAATGGGAAGTGCATCCCGGACTGGTGGCGCTGTAACTCCATGGATGAATGCGGAGATAACTCGGACGAAGAGATGTGTGTGGACTCGCCGTTTTCCTTCCAGCCCTGCAACCTGAACCAGTTCCCCTGCTTGTCCCGGTACACCCGGATCTACACCTGCCTGCCCCACAGCCTGCGCTGCGACGGCAGCATCGAC